CTAATACAGTGCAGACAATACATTTACAATTATACTAACATGAATGTATTAAATGATCTGTATGTAGCCCTGTACTATGGATCATTTAACCCATTCATGTTAGCAGAGGATCATTGTAAATGTATTGTTGCAGGCACTCTATATGTACATGTACTATATACTACATATAGAGTGCACTGAACAATAGATTTACAATTATCCTCTGCTAATATGAATGGGTTAAATGATCCGTAGTACATGATATGTAGCCCTGTACCCCCTTTTCCACTTACAGAGCTAGGTTATTTTTCTTTTAAATAAATATTAATGTAATTTTATTGGTATCTATCTACCATTAGCTGCCTTATTTCCCACCCTCGGCTTATATTCGGATCAATACTTTTTCCCAGTTTTTTGTGGTAAAATTAGGTACCTCGGCTTATATTCGGGACGGCTTATACTCGAGTATATACGGTAGTTCTAGCTAGCTAAAATTAATTGTTTAAAAAAAATCTGGATGCATTCCTGAAGGAAAAATAACCAGATATTAACATTTTACAAGTAAAATAACGCTAGCGATTGCTGATCCAGGGAATATCCGATTGCCTTATGGGATCAGGATGGAGTTTTTTTTTCCCCGTTGGAGCAAATTGAACCATGCTTTATAGGTTTTTTTTGCCTTCCTCTGGATCAACAGTGGATAACTGAGGGCATAGTGTCTCAGGTTTTTCTATTTTCTTTTATACAGGTTGAACTCGATGGACTTGTGTCTTTTTCAACCTGCCTATGTAACTTTATCTACAAGCTGTTTGAGCTCACTCCTTTATGCAGCTATCCAGCTTGGCGTATCCCCAGCAAAAGCTTTGGAGGCTGGACCCAGACCCTGCTGGACTGGATAATTGCGGGGCCTGCCTGGAATATGACCTCTGGGCCTGGGCTCTGCTTGTGGTGCTTTCCAGACCTCTGTTCACTGTGTTAGTTGACAGCCTCTGGTGTGACCCACTCTCTGGCAACTCTTAAATCTATAGGCCATTTAGGCCAAGCACTAGGAACTGCTACATTTAATAGACCTGCTGGGCGCCATAATGATCCCCTCCATGGAAAGGGATAAAACATTGGGGAATTGAGTGCTACATCAAGGGGTGGGGTGTCGCCTCTGCACACTATGTACTCTTTTCATTATTGTTTGCTCTCGCCTACAGTGACCTGGTCACCTCCGGGATTTTGAACCTCTCCAGAGTGACATCACATTCTGGCTCCCGGCACCTCTACAGGGCACGCAAGGGAGCTGTACCAGCAATGTGCATATGGATGAAGCTGTCACAGCACAGAACCCAGACTGGACCCCAGGCTGAGGATTCACTCCAGCTCTTGTAAGATAGGGAGACTAGGAGGATCTTAATTTTTTTTTTTGGAGTGTGTGAGAATTTATGTGGTTGTGTGTGTCTGTCAGTGTTTATGAGGCCCGTTTACACTAGTAAACACTAGCTTTAATCGCACAGTCCCATTCTGATGTTGGAGGTGTGTTGCATTGCCATTCATTTGAATAGCACCCCAAACGCACCTCCCACCCACAGTTTAAAAGGCCCCCACCGGAACGCGCGGTAGCACAATGCCGTGCATTCCAGTGCAGTGCGACCTGGGTCATGACCAAGGACAAATGTGGGTCCTGAGGTTACACAGGATGAGAACAACTGCTCTAATGAACCATACTTCAGAGACACCAGGTCAGGTCTATGGTTTCTGTAATGGACCACCCCTCAGCACCACCAGGTCAGGTGTATGGTTCCTGTTCCAGACCATCCCTTAGCAACACCAGGCCAGGTCTATAGTTACTGTAATGACCATCCCTCAGCAACACCAGGTCAGGTCTATGGTTCCTGTAATGGACCATACCTCAGCCACATCTATGGCTCCTGTAATGGACCATACCTCAGCCACACAAGGTCAGGTCTATGGCTGCTGTTATGGACCATACCTCAGCCACACCAGGTCAGGTCTATGGTTCCTGTACCAGACCATCCCACAGCAACACCAGGTCAGGTCTATGATTCCTGTACCAGACCATCCCACAGCAACACCAGGTCAGGTCTATGATTCCTGTAATTCACCATTCCTCAGCAACACCAGGTCAGGTCTATGATTCCTGTAATAGACCATTCCTCAGCAACACCGGGTCAGGTCTATGGTTCCTGTACCAGACCATCCCACAGCAACACCAGGTCAGGTCTATGATTCCTGTAATGGACCATTCCTCAGCAACACCAGGTCAGGTCTATAATTCCTGTAATAGATCATTCCTCAGCAACTCCAGGTCAGATCTATGGTTGCTGTAATGCCCTGGTTCTCAACTAGTGGGTCGCGGCCCTGTGTTCAGTGGGTCGCGGCGTGGAGGGTTGCCACCTGTCCAGACGGTTCCATTTCTCTCCCGGCGGAGGGGGGTGATGTTCTAGGTGAGGGCATAACTGTAAATAACTTCCGCACTCCTTACTGAATGCCCCTTGTGCTGACATGTGGGCGCTGAAGTGACTGCGGGTGGCGATGATCATCACAGTGAATGTCACTAGCACACCAATGGATGATGTCTAAAATAAAAGCGTTGTTTATTCATGCATATTGTCACATCATAAATGCAACATTTCGGGGCCACGTGGGGTCCCCTTCATCAGACTTAACATGATGAAGGGGACCCTGCGTGACCCCCGAAATGTTGCATTTTTGATGTGACAATGTGCGTGAATAAACAACGCTTTATTTTTGGACATCATCCATTGGTATGCTGGTGACATTTCTGATGTTCCAGGTGAGGGGACCCTGGGCCGACGCAGAGGTGTCGAGTCTCTAGTATTGTGTCATTTTTCCGGTCGTCCCAGTCTCGTAGTACAGCCACCCCCCTCCCCGTGGAATGGTTAGCTCCTCCCTGACTCTCTTCTCATTCAGCCTCTGATGCTGGCGGTGGTCAAGTCTGTATGCCCTGCTTCCCCCTGGCCCCTTTGTGGGAGGCTTCTGACTGCAGCATTGAGCTCTAGACGATTGACTGCCTTCTTTCCCTGGGGCTAGTTGTGGAGGGTAAGTCCAAGGGGGAATTGTTAGTACGGTGGAGGGGGTGTCATTGTCACTATTTGGAGGTGTCATTATCACTATGGGGGTGTCACGGGGGTGGTCCTTGTGTCGGGGGCTGAGGTTGGAGGTGTTGTTGAATGCGGAAATATATGCCCTTCTTTGCTGTGTCTCTGAGGTATTAAGGCCGTGACACACTGCACGCGAAGCAGCGCGGAGCGGGGGCGCGCTGCCTTTGCGAGCAGTGTGTCATGTCATTTTCTGCTCGGCAGCTCAGCTTGCGAGAGCTCGCGGAGCTGAGCGTGCCGAGATGAACAATTTCAACTTCAGCCAATCGGCTCGCGCGTATAAACCAGCACGTCGCATTGCGACAGCTGGCAGGTTGTTACGGACGAGCCGATTGGCTGAAGGTGCTGTCAATCATCTGACTGCACTCAGCTCACACACTGCACGCAAAGCTCCGTGCCGGATAGCTTTGCTTCGCTCTGCACGGCTTCGCGTGCAGTGTGTCACGGCCTTCAGAGTGTCAGACTGTGTGCGGGTAAGGGATTCTGCAGTACTTGGGTGTCAGATTGTGTGAAGGTGTTCTGGGGTATTGGGGCATCAGGCTGTGTTCAGGGGTACTGGAACGCCAGGGTGTAAGCTGGGGTACTGGGGCATCATGCTGTGTGCCGAGCTTCTGGGGCATCAGGCTGTGGGCAGGGATTCTGGAGTATTGGGGCGTAAGGCTGTTTGAGGGGGCTCTGGGGTATTGGGGCACCAGCTGTGTGCAGGGGTCCTGGGGCATCAGGCTTTGTGCGGGGGTCAGGGGTATTGGGGCATCAGGTTGTGTGTGGAGGAATGCTGCACAAGTTGTCTTGTGGAATAAATTCTAATGTTTCAGAAATTCAATTATTTTTGGGTCGCGACTATGGTTTCTGTAATTAACCATTCCTCAGCAACACCAGGTCAGGTCTATGGTTCCTGTAATTGACCATTACTCAGCAAAACCAGGTCAGGTCTATGGTTCCTGTAATTCACCATTCCTCAGCATCACCGGGTCAGGTCTATGGTTCCTGTAATGAACCATTCCTCAGCAACACCAGGTCAGGTCTATGGTTCCTGTAATGAACCACTCCTCAGCAACACCAGGTCAGGTCTATGGTTCCTGTAATTAACCATTCCTCAGCATCACCGGGTCAGGTCTATGGTTCCTGTAATGAACCATTCCTCAGCAACACCAGGTCAGGTCTATGGTTCCTGTAATGAACCATTCCTCAGCACCATCAGGCCAGGTCTATGGTTTCTGTAATGGACCATTCCTCAGCAACACCAGGTCAGGTCTATGATTCCTGTAATGGACCATTCCTCAGCAACACCGGGTCAGGTCTATGGTTCCTGTAATGGACCATTCCTCTGCAACACCGGGTCAGGTCTATGGTTCCTGTAATGGACCATTCCTCCGCAACACCGGGTCAGGTCTATGGTTCCTGTAATGGACCATTCCTCCGCAACACCGGGTCAGGTCTATGGTTCCTGTAATGGACCATTCCTTAGCAACACCAGGTCAGGTCTATGGCTCCTGTAATTAACCATTCCTCAGCAACACTGGATCAGGTCTATGGTTTCTATACCAAACCACACCTTAGCAACTGTCAAGGGTACCAATTGGGAGGCCACATAAACCTGTCTCATCTCAACATACACACTTCCCACCATCTCCCATCTCCTCTCCCTCTCCATAGGAACAAACACAAACATGATGCTCAGCAGAGTCTTGATGGGTTTATGTACCTCTAGGCGAAGCTCCTGTCATGAGATGTCTACCCACTACACCCCAAATAAACACATCCTTGTGTACACTGCCCTGATTGTACTACAGATGTAGAGCTAGCAAGTATAACACAGGTCACTAGAACAACTCTAAATTGTGAAGATGACTATGTTAACAAGTCAGGTTCAGCACATGTACACTGACTTACCCAGAGGTGCCATGACATGGAGCAGGATCCAGGCGGCTCCCAGAAGTTGCGGTGCCATCTTCGGCAGCACTGATGCAGGCGCTGGGAGGAGGCAATTGTCTGAGGCTCACAGTCTCCGGCGGCCCCGAGTCTGCGTGGAAATATGTATGAAGAAAGAGGCGCAGCTTCACCCGGCCTTCTCCTCCTCCAGCCTCCCTCACTGTGACAGTGCACACAATTCCTCCGAGACCATGCTTTGCTCAGGAGACTGCTTTACCAGGCAGCCAGCGGCATCACGGCTCTTCTCATAACAGACTGGGCCAATTCGCTATACACCGTGTAAGAGTGAAGCATGTTCGGGGCTGGGTATTATATTACACGGCGTCATAGGGGTGGTACAAAAATAGGAACTGATAGTCTATTTATTTCTAACGGCTCCAGCCATCTCCCTTCCTATTGTCCAGGACCGCACTGTTTGTGTGGTGGGCTCGTGTTCCCTTCCTGTAGGCCTGACTCTATACACACTGCTTATAGAAAAAACATTCACATTCTTATGACATACTGAAAGGGTGTAGGAAATCCTATTTTGGTTTGGGACATAGTGCAGAAGGGTGAGGACCCAATTCAGTTTAATTGCTGTCTGTGGCTTTATTTCCTGTCTCCATAACCACAGCTAATGGCTGACTTGGCCATAGGGATGCATTAGAAGTAGAAACACCTCACTTTAGTGCTGTGGGAAGAGTGAATGGGAAAGGGGTCTTAAGGCCCCCTCATGGGAGCTGGCAGTTTCTTGCCCCACTTTTTCTGTTACACTTGTGGCTAGTGGGGAGCGGTCAGCTGACCCCCATCCCAGGAGCATAGAAAAAAGGGGGGTTCAGGCTGCCAAGTCATCCGTTAGTAAAATTTGCTTGCTGTAAGTTCTGCACCCTCCCACCCATTGTGGCCATTATAATTTTGGTTGATCATCTTTAATTCTATAAAGGGGGCAGTTGTGGTTAATGTAAATGTAACTACTGGCCAGACAGCGGGACTCTAAACGTCCTTTCCTGCTCCCGCACATGAGCGGTAGCGGAAAAACGTGAATATTATTAAAACCCCATTCGCGCCAGGGCGAGCACTTTACTCGCTGTTTTTTTAGCACGTTTCAGCGCGTTTTCTGTTCATATGTAATAGCTTTTTAAGGCTCTTTCAGTTGTCCAATGAAAAGCAGTCTCAGCTGCAAAAACTCGCGTCTATAGAGCAAAATGAGCTGATAAGTGCCACAAAAGAAGCCCCGGGGACGATTTCAAACAACAGGCATATTTTGACGTGCGATTCAGCATGTTTACGTGAACTGCCCCTATAGGAATACATTTGATTGTAATTGCATGTGTTTCAACTTGGGAAAAAACGTGTGACGAACTGCCCTGGTGCAAACGGGGCCTTACAGCCAGTGACGGCTGTTATATACAAGCATTTGGGTGGCTATAGAGCAGCCCAATCACTGGTAGGGTGCGTGAAGTGTGTGCCCCCCCTCCACCCCCGTTGCTAGCATGGTGGTTCTCTGCACTGAGATCGGAGGGAGCTCAGTACACTTCCAGCAGCAGATCTCCTCTCTGATCAGTGAATGCGGGAGTGATGTGTATTACATCAATTCTGGTTTCAGACTGTCATTTCTCTAGTTGCAGCAGCTGGAGAAGAAGCTGATGAAGTTTCTTTGGGGTTCCTATGTAACATTAGTGGTCTAATATACCTCTGATGTCTCTGTAAAGGGGACCTATCACTGTATATGTGCTATCACACAGGGGCTTGTTAGGCCCATGTGTGATAGAAATATAGTTGTGTGAAAACAAAAGTTTAAAAGATAAAACCACATATAAAAAAAAAAAAGTCCCCCGCTGTGTGATCCCATTAGGCTGGCCATATATTGTTTGAATTCGACTTTGGTTGAAATTCAAGCGGTATGTGGCCCTGTCAGCACCTCTCCGTTTGACAAAAGTCTAAATATTTTCCCACCAACAGTGACTGCAGCCAATTAGCATATGTACAGTATAATAAGAGTGCCAAAAATGTATAATAATGGAATGGGATCATAAATGACAGCAAAGAACGACAGACTGTCATTTATTAACCCATTCCACTATTATATATTTTTGGACTCTCAATCTGTCTTGTTTGGCACTCTTATTGGACTGAATATATGCTAATTGGATGCAGTCACTGTTCTTGTGAGGATAGTCATGTATATATACTGTATCAACTCTGAATTCCCTTGTATGTGGGACATCCTGTTTTTGTTGAAAGAGTCCTCATTGGAGCGATTGGGCTTTGTCACGTTCCGATCAATCTTATGAATATATTAATCCATGTCCTTACCTGTACTTGTTCCTGCAACCAATTGGTGACAGCTTAACAACATGGATAGGGTAAACCCCTGTCGGGGTGTTGTATTGTGATAGAGGCCAATGTGCGACTGATGATTTGAGTTGAGTGTTAGACTAGAAAAAGCCACAAGTGTATGACCTTCAGTGTGTTTTTATTGCTGTCTGTGTCCAAGAGATTTATATCACTTCCTGTTTGGTCACTGGGACAGGGAATGAGGGGGCCTAGACACTTGTAAACATCTGCCAAAGGTTTTTAACCTTTCCGGCTGCATCCAAAACATTTTCGGCTGGAGTTGCATCTTAACCCCTTTTTACCGACTCCCAGCAAGCCCTTTAAAGGGTTCTTAACACCAGCAGCCAGAGGTGGGCTTCCTGAATATGTGTTGGTTGTCACATGAGAAGAAGCCTGTCCAACTAGCTCCCCATTATAAATGAAGTGGCAGCTTGGTCACTGTGCTGGGAGCATACAGTCAGCGTGCTCTCAGTAGAAAACAACAGAGCCAGCTGATCCATATATTCTTGGTGTTATATCCAACTAGTTGTGCTGCCTCATTTTAATAGTAACATAGTAGGTGAGGCCAAGGTCCATCCAGTTCAACGTCCGTCTGTCTGTCTTTATGTGTATTTAACAGTTCCCATATCCTTGTATATTTAGTGACTGAAGAAACTCATCTAGAAGTTTCTTGAACTTATGTGCAGCGGACACCACTGCCTGCCTGTGGAAGGGAATTCCATATTTTTACTAGGACAGTAAAAAAAAAAAAACCTTGCGTGTTCTACGATTGAACCCCCTCTCTTCTAACCTCTTGTTGTGTCCACATGTTCTCAATACTGTTCTCGGTGAAAACAACTTGTTCTGAATATTGTGTTCCCCATTGAGGATTTTGAAGACTGCAATAAGGGCCTCTCTTAATCGAATAAGACTAGGTTTAATTGTTGGAGGTGATCTTCATAGCTCAGGCCTTCTATCTCTTTAATAATTTTGTAGTCCTTCTTTCAACTCTCTCAAGCTCGAGGACATCTTTCCTGAGAGTTGGCGACCAAAAATTGCACCGCATACTCAAAATGAGGCCGAACCAGTAAAAGAAAAGCATTCTCTTATCCCTTGCTACAATCCATCTTTTAATGCAGGATAGTATCATGTTTGCTTTGTTGACTGCGGCATGGTATTGCTAAATTTGTGATCTATGAGTACCCACTGAGTCCTTTCCATGTCTGTCTTCCCTAATGCAGATCCTCCCAGATAGTAGATTGTGCACTCGTTCTTTGCACCCATGTGCACAACCTTACATTTTTCAACGTTAAATCAAATATGCCAATGTGTAGCTTATGCTTCAATTTTACCTAGGTCTTGTTGAAGTGCACATTTCTCCTGTTTAGAATTTACTGTCCTACACAGTTTTGTATCATCGGCAAAAAGGGAAAGCTTACTATTATCCCTAGTTCTATGCTGTTGATGTATAGGATAAACAGGATTGGTAGCAGGACTGACCCCCTGGGGCACCCGACTCCCAACTTTTGCCCAATTAGAGAATGACCCATTTATTACTACCTTCTGGGTCCGTTCTTGCAGCCAGTTTTCCACCCATGTGCAAACAGTTGCCTCTAAACTGATAGACCCAAGTTTATGAATTAAATGTTTGTGGGGTACTGTATCAAATGCTTTAGCAAAGTCCTGATACACCACGTCTACTGGTGCTCCTCTGTCTAAATTAGTACTGACCTCCATAAAATGTTAATAGATTGGTCTGACAAGAACAGTCCTTCATGAAGCCATGTTAGTTTCTACTTATACTAGTTTTATTCGCAAATTCCTGTATGTAGTCCCTTATCATTCCTTTGATTACTTTGTGCACTATTGACGTTAAGCTGACTGGCCTATAGTTACCCGGTGTACTCCTTTTTGTATATTGGTACCACATATGCTCTCCGCCAATCATCCGTACCATACGAGTCATTAGAGAGTCTATAAAGATTATGTACATTGGTCTGCCTATGACCTGGCTAAGTTCCTTTAGTACCCTCGGATGTAACCCATCCGATCCTGGGGATTTGTTTACATTTAATCTTTCTAGCATGTGTACTACTCTGCTCTCCAACAGCCACTGAGATACGTTAAAACTTTTATTATTGTTCCTGCAGCTGTTGCCCTGGTCATTGCCCATGTCCGTCTCATCTTTAAAAACAGAAGAAAAGAATGTGTTTAATGCATTCGCTTTTTTCTTGTTGCTGGTAGTTAACCTCTCCTCTTTGTCTGTTATTGGGCCTACATGTTCTGTCTTTACCCTTTTGCTATTTATATATTTAAAGAATTTCTTGGGTTTCTGTTTTCTTTCAGCTGCTATCTGCTCTTCGTATTGTATTTTTGCTGTCCCGATTGCTCTTTTACATTTTTTGCTGCAATCCTTGTAGTTTTTGAACGTCGATACTGACCCCTCTGACTTATAGTTTTTGAAGGCCTTATCCCTTTCCCTTATGTGTTGTTTTACCTTGCTAGTTAACCACCCTGGTCTAACTTTCCCATTCTTGAATTTATTGGTAAACAGCATGCACTGGCCAATTCTTTTATTTAAGATTTCCTTGAAACTATCCCATTTTTCTTCAGTGTTCGTATTCAGGAAGATTGCATCCCTATGTATTAGGGATGTCCCGATACCGATGCTAGCATCGGAATCGGGCCCGATACAAGGCATTTTGACAAGTACTTGTCAAAATACCCCGATGCATAGCGCCAAAGCTTGCATTGTGTTTTTTTTTACGTTACCTTCCGTGGTGGGGTGTCCTCTGGGCAGGCTGAGCGGAGGAGCGTCGCGTCACTGCTGTTGGCGGAGCTCCAGGTGGGGTCCTAATG